GCGGAGCACAGGCTCTGGGCGCGCAGGCTCAGCGGCCATGGCTCACGGGCCCAGCCGCTCCACGGCATGTGGGATCTTCCCGGACCGGGGCACGAACCCGTGTCCCCTGCATCGGCAGGCGGACTCTCAACCACTGCGCCACCAGGGAAGCCCGGTGCCCCACTTTGTAAACAGTCCTAAGAGTTGAAAGGTCATATAAGATTATTTTAGCATCAGACCTACACATTAAAAAAATTGAAATAAACAAATCCCTGGACCAAAAATAGTCATCCCAGTCAAAACCTTGTGTTCTCAGAACCTAGATCTTAGTATAGTCTGAATCCAAGTCCCAATTTCCAAGCACCACAGGAAAGATTATGTGTGTCCAAATGAGTGAAAATCATGTTTCAGATTTGCCAGGATAACGTTCAGTCTGTGCCAATTGTCTGAAAGCACAACCTTTGAACATTTCTGAGAAGTCTTTGAATTACTGGGTAGGTAGCGTCCACTTAAGGATACGACCTCCTTTCTGTGGACGTGATATTTTGAGACTTCCCTGCCATCCTATAAAAATCTAGAAATTTACAAGACTATCCTTGCCAGTCACCAGGTCATATTTGAGGTGTGCCTCTTTCCCACCCAGTATCTTCAAAATCTATGGATTTCCCCTTATGGTTTTATGTTTCCAGCATGCCAGTGCTGAGTTGACTGGTTCAGTATAATGGCATCATCTTCATTCTCTCTGATGACCGGAGAATTAGTTTTAATCTCACCTGTTGCCTCTTGCTGCAAAACTGCTTGGGTCTGTGGACCTGCTCATGGAGAAGTGCTCTCCCTGTTCCCTCCTCTGCTCTGGAGAAGCAGCATAAGTAGATAGTTTAACTGAGGCAGCAGGTAAGGCTGCTGTTGCTTTTGACCCCAGGAGCCTGGCAGTATTGATCCCTCTGCTGAGTCATCTTTCCCAGCATTGTTCCTTTCCATGGATTTCGGATTTCCTGGACCTTGAAATTTTGTGCCCCTTCAAAAATAGCAGAAAAAAGGTTTTTTTCTTCAACAGTTTTTTTCATGCACTAGTGAAGACGTGCCTCCAGTGTTCTATTTATGTAAGTTATTCCCTATCTTTTTAAGAAATACCTAAATGAGTTTTAACAGTTTAATTCTGCTGCTTAATTTTGCCTCTTTTCTAGGATTAGCAATATTTGTTCTACTTTAGTATGTGTTAAGCTTTTTTTTTTTTTGGTTGGTGTGGGCCAGGATATTTGCTTTTCTACCATATTCTTTCTGATTTTATCTTGTATAGGGTAATTGATCACGAGAGATATGAAATCAGTGAATTCTAAGCCTGCTAATAATAAGCACATCCATTGTTCAAATGAATCTTATCCAGTTTTTGTCCTTGATGAATAATCCACCTGGGAGGCATTCTTCCATTGGAATAACATCTAAACCAGAACTGGACCTGGTCTGTTATTTGCTAGCTTCTTTTCCCTTTGCTGTGTATTTACTCCAAAGTCCTAATTTTATTAATTTCTCAGGCAGATTCCCTCAGAGCAGTGGTTCTTATCTGGGACTGATTTGGCTGTCTCTCCCAAAGGGATATTTGGCAAAGTCTGCAGTCAGATTTGTTGTCATAACTGGGGGGGTTGCTACTGGCATCTGGTGGGTAGAAGCCAGGGATGCTGCTAAACATCCTACAGTGCACAGGGCAGTCCCCGCAGCAATGACTTCTCTGGTTCAAACATGTCAGTACTGCCAAGGATGAATCCTGCCCCAGAGGATAGGAAATACATTCATGCCTCTTAATAATAGGTCACTTTCAAATCACCTAGTAATGGCATCAGGAGGCAGTGCTCTTCTTCAGAGGCTTGTCTGCAGTCCTGCCAGTTGTTCTATGATCACTTGTTAGAGCTGCATCATCTCCAAAAAGTGATTCAGTCACTGGATTTTTTTTTAATGGATTTGGCCTGAATCTTTAAGAGAGAGCCTATGAATGTTTTCCTCAATGGCCCTCTCAGAAGTACTGTGGTTTGCTCCCAGGTGCCTCTTGCCTCTCCTGTGATTTCTCTGAGCCCCAGTCACGGGTCAGTAATGGCCTCTCTATTGTTTCTTCAGTAGCACCGTCCTAAAGAGCAGTCAAGAGTGAGCTTATTTTTTCTATCTTGTTTTACCTGTGTAGGCAGGACTTCAATATGTCATTCTCCCTTCCTTTTGATAGAATCTGCTGCAATCGCAGCTTTTCTCCACCCCAAACCTCTTTACTTCCTTTGGTATAATTAACTGATATTTCTTTATATTTATGTTATTCTCCCACTGCTACTGTTCTGATAAGACTGAAATATGCTTTTAAAAGTAGTCTGGTCACTTGTTGATTTCTTGAGCAAATTTAGTTCTTAAAGTTATAGCATAACCAGAAAAGGCCTTTTAAGGGGCCTTATCAGCATTTGGATCTATATTTTCATTGAATCATTTTTCTATCTGAATCCTAGGACATGGTGTATTCCCTAATAAAGACCTTCATTTTATTTGACCTTCATTGATGTTTAGCTTTGTGGCTGCAACCATAATATGAGACTCCAAACCTAAATCTGTATAGACCACAGATTATATAACCAGTGACTCTAGCAAAACTCTGAGAATATGTAAAGGGGTGTGACTTGTAGAAGGGCCCACAGGCAAACTACAAAAACTTCAGAGATTAGCTCCTACCTGTTCACTCCTTGGCACTGAATCCAGTTTAAGACAATACACAGAAGTTAACAGCACTGCCCACTTACTTCTGACACCAAGTCACACACTAGCCCTTGGTAGCCAACCTTAACTTAAAGTCAAGTCCTGTGATTTAATTGAAAAATACAGTTAAAGCAGCAAAAGATTATTGTGTGTATCAATGCCTAAAATGTCTATGTTGTGAAGTATTACCCCTTTCGAGATAAGGTTTTACGATGACAAAAGATGTTTTTTCCCTGTAACCAAGTGGTTCTCAAACTAAGCAGCATATAGAGATTACTAGGGGAGGTTTTAAAAAGTAATAATGTCTGGGCTTCCCTGGTGGCGCAGTGGTTGAGAGTCTGCCTGCCGATGCAGGGGACGTGGGTTCGTGCCCTGGTCTGGGAAGATCCCACATGCCGCGGAGCGGCTGGGCCCGTGAGCCATGGCCGCTGAGCCTGCACGTCCAGAGTCTGTGCTCCGCAACGGGAGAGGCCACAACAGTGAGAGGCCCGTGTACCACAAAACAAAAAGAAAAAAAAAAGTAATAATTCAGAGATTCAGATGTAAATGGTCTGAGTTATGGCCTGGAGATTGGGAGTTTTAAAAGCTTCCCAGGTGATTCTGAAGGTGAGAATTAACAGCCAAATTTGGAAACATTGCCATAACCTAATCCTTGCTCTGCTGTCACGGGTCAGATCAGGGTCAGCTGCAGGGACTTGCACAGTGCTGGCTTAATGAGGCCCATGCACCTGTGCTTGTAGAGCTAGTGCCTATTAATTATGAATATGAAAAGAGCCATTTGTCTGTGTGCAAGTCATAGTAGTAAGCTGATATGATCCACTAAGATCAAAATCCTTTGTTACCGGTACTTAATGATTCATTAAAGCCTAAAGATACCCATCCTGACAGTCGAGAAACTCCACTACCTGTGTTGTATTGTAGACAAAGTTCCAGCCCTTTTGGTGAAGTCTCAAGGGTTGTGACCATTGCATCAAATCTGTAGAGTCTGGAAGTGATAATTATTATAACTCTTTCTGAATGGTCAGAGCCAAATAAGGGATAAACAGAGAAGTCAGAAAGATTGAGAGCAAAATAACAGCTTCATAACTGATAACACTAAATTTATGACCATTTGAGTGTCATAATATTTCCTCCATTGAATTAAATGTGCCCAAATGAATACATCTTTAATTAAGATGCCCATAATAATTAAGGACAGGGCTGGAGGAGTGCAGTCCTTCCCCCCTCCGAAGCCCCCTTCGTGCATGGAGATATAGGAAGCAGATGAAGCTGTGAGTCCTGAGGGGGATAAGGAGTAGAGCTTGCTCAGTGTAAAAAATGTCATTTTTTTTTTTTTTTTTGCGGTACACAGGCCTCTCACTGTTGTGGCCTCTCCCGTTGCAGAGCACAGGCTCCGGACGCGCAGGCTCAGCGGCCATGGCTCACGGGCCCAGCCGCTCCGTGGCATGTGGGATCTTCCCGGACCGGGGCACGAACCCGTGTCCCCTGCATCGGCAGGCGGATTCTCAACCACAGTGCCACCAGGGAAGCCCTGAAATGATTTTTTTAACATCAACATATTTGTAGAAACTCTTTTTTTCAGAGCTTTAAAAATGTAAGTTTTATTGGTGGGATTTATGCTTAGGGAGATAATATTTAATAAGAGAACTTTGAAATTAATGACATTTGGGTAAACACAATTTTATAAGAGCATGTAAATGAGGTTTCTGTTTATTTTGTGAAGGACTGAAATTTAGTTTGACTTTGAAGAAAGCCTTTGAAGGGTGATATCTGAGATAATCATAAAAATACATTTCATTTTAGTTATTTTGAAGGGTTAAACAGCAAGATGTAAAGAGTAGTACAGATTTTAAATTTAGATAGTTCTGGTTGATCTTCAGAATGTAATTCTCTGTATTAGTTACCCTATTTGTAAAAGAGAAAAATGATAGCCTTCCATTTTGGTTTTGGGGTATGTGTGTATGTTTGTGTGTATATGTATGTGTGTGTTTGTTTTGGTTAGGATTAAAGGAAATGGCTTTATATAAAAAGCATAATTCCTAGTATAAAATAGATGCTCAATAAGCGTTTATTCCTTTTTTCTATATTAATTCTAATCTTCTTATCCTTAATTTTCTTTCTGTATTGTTTTCAAAAGGTTTTCAATAACCTTTTATATCTTATGTATATAGATTTAGCTTTCCCACCTTAATAAAATCTTGAAATTTTTAGATTTATAGCCGTTGTCACCTCAGTAGCCTTCGCTGGTACTCAGAGAACCTCTATTAGGTAAGATTAAAACTACACTTGACCCTTGAACAACAGGGGTTTTGAATTGCATGGGTCCACTTAAACATGGATTTTTATTTTTTTAACATCTTTGTTGGAGTATAATTGCTTTACAATGGTGTGTTAGTTTCTGCTTTATAACAAAGTGAATCAGCTATACGTATACATATATCCCCATATCTCCTCCCTCTTGCGTCTCCCTCCCACCTTCCCTACCCCACCCCTCTAAGTGGTCACAAAGCACGGAGCTGATCTCCCTGTGCTATGCGGCTGCTTCCCACTAGCTATCTGTTTTACCTTTGGTAGTGTATATATGTCCATGCCACTCTCTTACTTCATCCCAGCTTACCCTTCCCCCTCCCCATGTCCTCAAGTCCATTCTCTATGTCTGCGTCTTTATTCCTGTCCTGCCCCTGGGTTCTTCAGAACCTTTTTTTTTTTTTTTTTCAGATCCCATATATATGTGTTAGCATACAGTATTTGTTTTGAACAGGGGTTTTGGACTGCATGGGTCCACTTAAACATGGAGTTTTTTCAATAGTAAATACCCCAGTACAACATGATCTGTAGTTGGTTGAATTGTGGAGGGCCTAATATCAATTATACATGGATTTTCCACTGTGCATAGGGTCGGTGCTCCTATGTTGTTCAAGGGTCAACTGTATTAGACATTTAAAACAATTCATCATAATTATAAGAGGTCTTGAAGCTAAACTTGTTCAGTCCTCTCATAGATAGATAAATACACGAAGTTCTGGAAAGGTAAAGGAAAGTGATTTAGGAAAAAAAAAGGATTTGGTTAGCAACTGAATTACATTCCTTGGAGGTCTGTGAACTGATGCTCATCACCCTCAGATAGAACCTCACACACAGGGATGAGGTGAGAGGAAAAGGGAGCAGCTCTGTCCTCACTGTGTTTTCAGTTGCAAAATCTGGTGTTGGGGAAAAAAAATTGAATATTCAATAGACATCAAGTTGATACACTTAAAATGCTGTGAGAATCACCTTTATATATTTCATTTCTGAATATGGCTGAAACTATGGACACAATGGAGGTGTATAATTATCATGTGCGACCTTTATCATTAATAAATGCACTGGGTTCTTTGGTTAATGCAAACTTTTAAAAATGCCTAATTGGGTTATATTTTTCATCTTATAGAATCCTGGTGAAATATTTGTTATTTTGAGAGATGAAGTAATTGGTGATTCTGTGGAGGTTGAATTTACGTCAAATAGTAAATGCATTAGAACACGGCCAGCCCTCTGGAATAAGACAGTCTGGTGTATGAAAGCTTTAGGTAAGAAATTTTTTTATGCTTTAATAAATATAAAACATCATTCTGAGTTTCTTTCAATAAATTTATGGTAAGTGGTTTCAGTTCCCTACAGAAACTAATATTGTTCTGCAGGTGTTTCCTGTGTTTAGCTTTCACATACCCAAGGCTGTTATTATTAATCTGGATTCGCAAAAACACGAATGTGTAAATTATGAGAACTTAGTTTGTGTACCGTGTGGTAAAATGACAGCCAGTAACATCACATACTTTATGTCAGCAGAGAGCACTTTAACGTGTCAGCTATTAAATATGGAACTAAAATTATTTGCTTTATTGTAACAGGATTAGCAGACTTCTGGATTTTCATTCATGATTTTCTTTTTTCTTCTTTACTTTTTTTGCCATGCAAAAAAAGTATATTTTTTGAGTATATTTTTGCTTTGGAAAGCATAGTTCTTTTTCACTATTTTATCATCATGGTACCATTTCTATATACAATCTTCCCTCTTTTCCTTATTTAAATTATGAACCTATAACCATTGTATTATCCAACTTTGCTTCAGCATGATAAATTGCATTGGATTTAAAATTCCAGATGGAATAGACACACTTGCTGTGATAACTGTAATAAAATCAAAATTTAATATATTAATTTCTGAATGTTTTGATATAAATGTAGGACTGCTTGGTTTTTGAATTTATGGTGTCCTTTTATAATTAGAGAATAAAATTACCTAACTTTATAAGTGTGAATTTCATAAAATATTTTAAAGTACAAAGATATTCAATCTTATTCTAAATTTGGAAATATAGTAAAAAATATTTAAAATTAAAGAGTATATCAAATGCATCCTGAGCTCTTTTGTTTTCTTTTTAGACTGTAGCTATAATGAAATCCATTTACAGGGCATTTACAAATCTTTTCTGTTGTGTTGTGTAAAGCATGTGTCCCCTCTATGGATTTCCTTGCACAGTTTAGGTCAGAGTTGGATTATAGAAAGGAAAGACTTTACACCAATCATTTATAAACATCTTAGACACTGCTTCCTGTCATGGACAAGGATATGCAGAAGTGAGATGAGAAAGAATTCTTTCTGTTTCTTTTCCTTTTCTTCCAAAGCCCCTTACTTCCTTATGCCACATTTTTAAATGATTTAATGAGCAATAATTTCTAACTAATTAGTTTAGAAGTTAAACTAAATCTAGTTAGACTAAATCACTACAGAAAAATCAATATTACAAATTAAGAAGTACTTAGATAATACTTCCCAAATAGCAAATCAAAATGTCAAATAAAATTGTTCACATTAAGATTTTATGTTCAGTTTACCTAGTAGCTAAGAGCAGCGCAAAGAATAAAATGTCAAAGTTCAGATGTTTTTCAGAAAAGGAGGAAACTATAATTCTAAATTTTCCAATATATACCAGGCCATAATATTATCCATGTGGTTGAACAGCAAATTTGTAGTAAAAATCAACCAACCAACCAACTGTTATTTACCAGTTATGCTAATTAAACCTTTCCAACTCTTTTTTTCAACTGGTGTATTCTCTAAGTTAATGATAGATTGTCTTACAAAATGTTGGCTGCTATGTAGCAATATACAGGATAGTTCCATGAATAATTATGGGAATACGAATGGGACATGCCTCAGCAGAAATGGTCTTACTTTCTCTGCCTCAAGGCACAGTTTCTTAAAATTTTTTGAACCCTAGCAAGAACTACATTTTACATTGTGACCCAGTACATATGCATGAAAACATAATGAAAACAAAAGTTTTAAAAGCAATACTTAGACTGATGGTTTCAGCCCTGACATGTAAAGATCTTGGAAGTTGCTACTCCCACTCTTACAACAAGAAAAAGCCGAACAAACTGAAAATCAGTGGCTTTTCTTGAAGTCATCGGAGAACTGAGGTTGTAGGGTAAACAACCATCCCAAAATCTGGAGAGAAAGGTAAATCAAGACTGACATCTAAGATCTGCTTACCTGGAGCGGAAGTCACTGGAGTCCTAAACTGGTAGGAGCACTTAAATGGTAATTCTGATGAATTGCTGGAAGCTGAGTGTGGACTAGCTTGAAAGTAAGAAACTCCTGGGGGCTGTAGTCTTAAGAGGCACCTATAATTTTGTGGAATTTACCACCAGGAACCCCATCAGGTTCACACAGTGAAGATCTGAGAAAGATCCCCTGAACGGCTCTGCTAGATCAGAAGAAGACTCATGGTGAAATACTCCCAGTGTGTTCTCTATAACAAAGGTCTACTTTTCAGGGGAAACCACTTTACCAGAGCCTCATGCCAGCTGAGGAAGGGCATCCATCCTGTTGTAACCCCCTCTAGCCCTCAAGTCTCACGTAAGGTGGGGAAGGGAAAGCTATGCCACAGCAGAAACACTTGTGAAGGCCACAGCTGAAAGACACAGGCCCACTAAAAGACTGATTTAATCATAAGATTAGACTGCTTCCCCTTCCCCCACCCTGACCATCACCACAGCAGGGTTCCAGTGTAATGGCAGTGGATTACAGTTGAAAGTATGCAAGATGCAGAATCTTTCTAAGGAGGAGTACTTAGGGAAGCACAAGGTCAGGAGGGAAGACAAGGACAAGGACAGTAGAGGAATTTGAAGACTCTGGTACCCACAGCTACAGCAAACAGTAAATACAGCCTAACTCCTACACAGATTACTCTCAATACACACTTACCTGTTTCATTTCTTATATCTGATACAGCATGTCTGGTTTTCAACAAAAAAGTTACAAAGCATGCCAAGAAGCCAGGAAAAAACATAGTCTAGAGAGATAAAACACACATCAGACCAGACAGACGTGACACAGATGTCGGAATTATCAGGGAATTTTATGTAACTATGATGAATATGTTAAGGGCTATAATGAAGAAGTAGACAACATGCAGGAACATTTGGGTAATATAAGTAGAGGGAAAGATATTTTCTTTCTTTTCATTTTTTCAGTGTTAGTCAGAACCTACTAAGTTGATGTCGTGACAAACTAATGGGTCACAAACCACAGCTGGAGAAACTACTCTTTGGAACCGCACTGCCCAGTATGATAGCCATTGGCCACATCTGGTTATTTAAAGTTCATTATAATTAAATGAAATTTAAAATTCAGTTGCACTGTCCGTATTTTAGGTGCTTCATTGGAACATATCCAACGAACATATCTCAGGAAGTTTGATTGGACAGGACTGACCGTACAATAGAGTTCCTTTTGCTCTACACCAATTATAGAGTAAGAGGGAGTGCCCAGTGTGCTCTTCCAGGCTAGTGATCTGTGCAGAACCTGCAGTGTAGTTAAGGAAACACTTAACTGGTGGCCAAGAGGGCTGTTTTTATTCTGTATTGAACCATTTACTGGGTAACTTTAGACAAGTCTCTTGGTCTTTCTGTGCCTCAGTTTTCTTATTGATAAAATAGCTTCTCTACTTACATTTTAAGTCCTCCTTTATAGGATGTTTGGAGATAAGGGAGACAATGTATAAGACAACACTGAACATCCAACTGAGGAACAAAGTGTCAGTCTCTCCCTCTAGCTAATCCCTTAAACATGAGTGGCTTTTCTGGAATAACTCACATTCAGCTTCTGAATGGGGTGTGATAAACCATTTAAAAACTTCCTTCTCTTCCTTTTGGGGAAAGGAATTGAGGGGGCCGTCTTTCTCTATAAATACTATACTCCTCATATTGCCCCCTCTCTCCTCCTAGTCTTCTGTTTACATCTCTTGATATAAAATTTGTCCCCTTTCATTCTTGGGCAGTCATGCTCAGGAGCATTCCTAATTCTGTGTCATCTCATGTATAGTCCCTGTACCCAGTGGTGACTTCCAGGACAGGAAATGATCTCAGTCAGTATCTCAAACCATCTAATAATAGTCTATAAAGATTTAAGCCTTTAAAAATTTTTGGTGCTCCTTCTTTGAATACCAAATTAAAATGGAGGATCTAACCCTAAAGTGGAAACATACCAGGGACCCTTCCCCACTCTCAGGGTTCTTTGGAAGAATATTGATGCCTCAGGTTCAGGAGATGGCCTCCATCTGTCAGTCTCTTTCCAGTCTAGGAAAACTGCTCATGTGGCTCCATTTCTGATCACCTGGCTTGTGGCTTAATCAGTCACATTACTTAAAATGTGGTTTGCTCTCTGTAAATGTTCTCTTGTGCTATACCCAGAGCTTCCTGTACTGAGTCTAGCTGGTGTTGAGCGCTGGTATGGCAACTTCAGTACTGTCCCAGATGCAGGCTTATTTCTAGTCATCATTCCATAGTCCCTAGGGTGTGGTCATAATCATCATGGAACAAGATGACCTCTAAGCCTTTTGCTATCACACCTATCTGTATTCCAAGCAATGTGATGAAGCAAGGTGTGCTGGAACCATTGCATTTCAGGTTGCAAAACGCAATTCTACACATCTCTTCTCTACTTAACACTCAGTGATATTCCCTTGTGCACTAGTATTCTTGGGCTGCCATAATAAAATACCACAGACTGGATAGTGGCCACCTTCTTGCTCTGTCCTCACATGGCCTTTTCTCTGTGCACATGCACTTCTGGTGTCTCTTCTCATAAGTCCTTATTAGATAAGGGCCCCATCATTATGACCTCAATTTAACCTTAATTACCTCCTTAAAGGCCTTATCTCCAAATACAGTCATATTGGGGGTTAAGGCTTCAGCATATGAATTTGGGGGAAACAAAATTCTGTCCGTAACACCTTGGTAGCTTGAAATTGGCCATGGTGGGAACATTTATACCACAGAAGTTGGCAAAACTATGTGTAGAAAGAAAAGCATCAGTGCTTTATTTTTTCTTTCTGAGAGTCCATTTATCAGCACACCACTGGGATAAAGAAATGGAGAGGGCCTCGTTAAACTAAGAAGGTCTCTGTAAGACATATCTGCTGATATTTCACTAGTCAGAACTTAATCTCAAGGTCATATATAGCTGAAAGGAAGAATAGAAAATCTAGTCTTTTTAGTTGATCAGCAGTGTGCCTAGCAAGAAATAGAATCAGAATTCTGTTTCTAAACGGAAGACATTGGGGTAGGCAACTAGCATTTTCTGTTAGAGAAGGGTACCCCTCTAAGACCAACTAGAATTCTTTACTTCTTTGGAGACCTCCTCTTAACCATTATAAATAAGTGTGTATGTGTGTGTGTTAATAGACTTTCAGCATTGAGGTATATCAAATACTCTGAGGTCTTTTTCTTATAGTTCTTAGAACTCAAAATTTTCTCTACTCAACCCAACATTTTGCCATACTAATATAATTTTTAAATGTATGTCTCTTTTTAGCTTGGTAACAATCAAAACAAAACAAAATTATGTTAAAGTACAATTATGCTGACCAAGATATCAGGAATAAATAAGTTTATTCTCGTGTTAACTTCTCAAGAAATTAGAATACTTTAAGTATCCAATATCAAAAAAGTCCCAAGCAAATATTCTCACCATATATCTTTCATGATTTATCACCTGACTTTCTTTCAGAAGGTTAACATCCCATCATAAAACTCCTAATCTCTTTTCTGATAAACAATGTCAATATTTTCTTTCAAAATCATCTTTATGAAATCTACTGAAATTGATTTCATTTCACTCCAGTAACTCCAGAACCCCCTTTACTATGTGCACACAGCTGTAGCTGATGAGGTGTACTTTACAACTTTCAGTTTTTTTGAGATTTCTCTTACATTCTCTATTGGATGAATACTTACTTTTGGAAGAGAGAACTTTTCTACGTATATTTTCTTTATAATACAGGTTAAGTGTCTAGTCAAGCAATGTGAGAGGAGGAAATTTTAGCTTCTTGGTCTAGTTAAATATAAGATTGTTATGTTGGCTTAAAATTTTCCTGAGCAATATTATAAAAGGTCCTTTATCCTCTTCAGGAGATAAAGTAAAATTAATGCTTAAACCTTAAGCACTTTTAAATATTCAACATTTCATCAGGTGGTTTCATCAGGTGGCTTGTACTTAATGGCTTATTCCAAACCCCAGATGTTTGCATGACAGTTTTCCAGGAGAATTTGGGAAATATCTCTGTGACAAAGAGTGAAAGTTTTTAAAGTGTGTTCTGTGAATGAATTTAAAGAGCTAAATTTTGTTTAATTTTGTTACAATAAAACACAACCTTTCCATTGAAGTGATTATTTAGCGTTATTCTTTCATAGAGAGCACAACAGTCTCAGGTAACTTTAACTTTCTTGATGTGTTACAGCAAAATTTACAATGGGGTGTATCAGTCCCCTTGAACAACTTATTCACAAAAAGGATGAATGGATGGGGTAAATAGTACTTAAGTAACAGGGCATTAAACCTTGCCTTCCCAAGGGTTTTTCATTGTTATCAATTGAAGAAAAGTTCTATAATTTCAATCGACTCTACTCTTTCTTTTTCCAAACAATTTTAAGAAACTTTCCTGTAATTAATGGGAACTTTCTTCCTCAGATTAATAACAAATACTTAACTTTTAATGAATGACTTTACTGTTGTAAATTCAAAGTATTACATAGAAATGATTATAGATTACTCCAAAAAATGGAGGTTAGAAGATAAGGAGAAAAGATTTAGTGTTTTGCTTTTATTATAATTTTAACATATGTTTTAATCCTTTAAGTTTTTTTTAAACAATTAAGTGCAAAATTACATATTCTATTTTGTGGTTTCTAACTACTAAGGATAAAAAAAGAAAACAATTAAGTGTTAAAAGCTAGTAAAATTGTTATGAATTCTTAAAGCCTGATGTCACATTCTCTAAGAGATATAATACTGTGGTGCATGCATTTATAGACTCAGTTCCTAACTCTCTCTTTGTGTTTTATAAGATTTTCCTGCTGGCTCTGTCAATGTCAGTGTCTACTGTGATGGAATCATTAAGGCCACAGCAGAGATTAAATACTATTCAACCCCAAAGGCTATGAAATGCCTATTGGGAGCGGCAGGTCCAGGAGATGGTGTGTACCAGGTAAGTTGATCTTTCCATGAAGTCGACAATAAACTAAAGAGCTAATGTGGAATAAACGAATGCATACTTTGGTATAAAGTCTGAATGTTGGTTGAATAAGAATGAATTACTGATCATTAGGAAAAGAAGAAATTGACCTATGTGATGCAGAGATGTAGATGAATTAGTTTGTGTAAGTCAAGTCATTCCAGATAATGTCACTGGGAGACAGGTTATCCATTACAAAATAGCTGTTGTCCTGAGTTCATTTTCAAGCTGTTGCAGACCAGATAAAGAAAGACAGAAGGATTAAAGAGAACTCTTAAACAATGAATTTCCTCTTTATCCAGATGTGGGCAAATACAAGATAAAAGAAGGTTTGAGGTTAAGGACTCAGAAAAAACAAGAATACCACCAAAAAGGAAGTGTGTGGTGTTAATCTAGAAATTGTTATTTTCATGAGGAAATTTCCAAGCTCAGTGTATGTTTTTCTTAGTTTCATTTATCATTGTTGTCTGACAGTGAAAGTTATTCCTTTAAATTAACAACATTTATTTGGAATTCCAGAAATGCTAAAGTTTTCTGGGAACTCTGCAAAGTGGCATTGCAGGTTTTTTTCTCTAGTGTGACAAAGTGGTTCTCAGCAAGGATGACTTGGTGAGAAGTTTCTAGTCCTCTCAGAGGCCCTTAGTTTGGACATTCTCCAGTGAGTGATAGATGATGTGAGTGCCCTGCCCTAAGGGACTCATGGACTTAGAATGTAAAAAGTGCATTTTGATTGACTGTAAGCCATTAGTTTAATTTCTGAATTCTGTTTTATTTTTTGTTACCTGACCTACTTTCAGTGGAGAGAAAGCTTGCTTAATGTGGAACTTCTTTATGGGCTTATTACATCAGATTTTCAGAGTGAAATAAATGTCATTTCTTTTAATAGCTGCTTGATAATTAGAATTATAACTGCTTAATTGCCTTAGTGTTTCTGTGGGCAGAGGAGTAGACCAGAGGAGAGGTGAAGAAAGAGGTAGTTGAATTGAACGTGCGATCTTCAGACTTACCACAAAACACTCCGTAAGACTTGTAACAAAACCATCAATAATAGGAATGTTGACAGGTTGTCATGAAGCCTTATTGTTTAAACCAGTTTGGAATTGGAGGCTTTGTTATTTATTTTGTGTGATACATTTTTCTATTAGAGTTCTCCTTTATGAATGATACATTTTAGAACAATGGAAAAGGTAAAAATGTCTTAGAGAAGGACAGGGAGTAAAATACCATTTGTCAAACTGAGGAGTCTGAGGACGTTTGACAAAATATCGATATTGTAACTGCAAAGCAAGAATAAAAGTAACAGCTTGAAATACAGATCGTTTCATTTTCCTGTGACACGTCTACCTTATCCTCTACTTAAAAAACTTTATTTATTACACAAAGACTAACAAGAGCATTATATTTGCATTATCAGTATTCAGTCAGCATAGAAGTAAAGTAGTCCCCAAAACACATTTTTGTGTTGGTTTTGCCTTTGGGGAGGCAAAAAAACTTTGTTTATAGTGAAAATTAAATGTAATTTTTGACTCAAACAGTTTTTCAGAATGTTGTAACATGCAAGTCATGATTTCTTCTACAGCTTTGAGTGAATAAAAACTTTTTTGAGTAGTTCTTAGGTAACTAGAAAATGCTCTGTTTCATTTTTACCCTCAGTGTCAGAAATGAGAGGTGAGGAAGGGTTTCTCCCCTCCACTGAGCCTTGGTGCCTATAGTGAAAGGAAGATTGTTGGACAGTCACAGGTTAATTCAGGCTTTTACTCTCAGGAAAGAGGCACTTTAAACCTGAGGTTTGAGTATGGAGAGGTAGAATTATTCTAAGTTGGTGACAGCAGACCACAGCTTGGTAAGATGAATTAAGAGATTTGGTTAATATATACAATTTAAGATGGGTTTAGAGGTTTTGCTATTGTCATGAGGGGACCTACACATATTGTGGAATTAGATTAAACAAATTCTGAGTCTGAGATCTCAGACCCAGCAGAGCTATACCATCACAATCCTGACACATGGAAAAGGCTGCAATTCACTCAGTCTCCATCACATCTTGGACTAGGTATGACACGGGGTTCGTTTCATCCACTGGCATCTGGACCACATGAGGTATCCCTACCTTGAATTTACCAAGATGGTGAAAGTTGGACTCCACCCTTGATTAAAAAGAAGGATCTGGGCTTCCCTGGTGGCGCAGTGGTTGGGAGTCCGCCTGCCGATGCAGGGGACGCGGGTTCGTGCCCCGGTCCAGGAAGATCCCACATGCCACGGAGCGGCTGGGCCCGTGAGCCATGGCCGCTGAGCCTGCACTTCCAGAGCCTGTGCTCTGGCAATGGGAGAGGCCACAGCAGTGAGAGGCCGGCGTACAGCAAAAAAAAAAAAAAAAAAGAAGGATCTGCAGGGACACAAAGGAACCTTGTTGTGTTTTAGGGTTACTTGGCCTCAACGGTGGTGTCCCAGCCACACTGTGCTTCTCCTTGTTGACATTTGGTTGTTCCTTTGACATTTGGCTTTGCTCTCGTGTACATTACATTTTAAAAGTTGTGTAAAAAGCTGTGCTTTTCCTCTCCAGCATACCACACTGCAGCTTCTCCTACTACTTTAATTGGTCGATTTGGATATGTTGCACATAGTCCGCTGAACATCTCTATTCAAAGAACAGTGTGCGTTGTAATTTTATTCACCATAGTTATTGTGTATTTGTCAGGACATATACCAGCAGATTTTTTTTTTTTTTGCGGTACACGGGCCTCTCACTGTTGTGGCCTCTCCCGTTGCGGAGCACAGGCTCCGGACGCGCAGGCTCAGCGGCCACGGCTCACGGGCCCAGCCGCTCTGCGGCATGTGGGATCTTCCCGGACCGGGACACGAATCCGTGTCCCCTGCATCGGCAGGCGGACTCTCAACCACTGCGCCACCAGGGGAGCCCTCTTAGTTTATTTTTAATGATGTCTATTAGGTTTTAGAAGGCTTTACCTAAAACCAGCCTAATTATCTAACTGCTTCCTAAATTATTTCGTCTTTTTTGGATAGATACAAAATCACAGCTCATAGCCTCAAAAAGGTAGAAAATTTCCAGAGCCTCATCTAGAACAGTGAATTCAAATGAAAAACTACAAAGCCCAGTTTGGGAAGATATTAGAATTCAGGTACTAGTGTTAGAAAAACTAGTAAGTCCTATTTGACTGAGGTAATTAAAACCTTTGAGACTTCCATCTTATTTACAAAAGAGTCTAGGGGCAACAATAAAGTTAACTTTGTATAGGAAAAACTAGATACAATATAAAAACCAAATTAGGTCAGAATGCTAAAAGAACATAGCAATTATTGAGCAAAGCGTTAGGATCCTATTTATTAAAAGAGTTTTTGAAATGGTACCAAATAATTTTTATTAGTTGTATTTTGTATTAGTAAAAAGGTATATTGTGTTGCATGTATTTATCATCTTGCATATTTTACTTTATATCTGTTGAAATCTTATTTTCACCTTTATGTTAGGTGCACATCATTGCCAGTTTTCACTAAATTGTATGAATTATTCAATCTTTGCTTTACTGTCTGTGAATATTTAATACACTGTGAAACCAGATGGGGTTGGGGTGAGGGAAGGTATGGACTAAGGGAACTCTCACATCATGAGGAATTTCCCAGTTTTTTATTAGTTCCCTTAAAGGTTAGTTTCTTCATTAAGTTAAAGCTCAGGCATTAGAGGTTATCTCCCTAAAAGAGTTCTTCAGAAGATTCTTCCTACTGAGAGATACTGGGAACTCCCCAGCCTTTCAGCAGTTTTTTTCAGGTCCTTGCCTCGCTCAAAAGGTCGATGGGCACACAAAGCTTCAGGGTCATAAATCTTTTCCAACACTGACTCCCTACCATAGCATGCCTCCTTGTCTCCTTAACTCTCTCCATGGTTCCTATGTTCTAGCCATCCAGGACTGTTCCTTCTTTTATCAGTAGAACATGTTAAGCCATTTACTCCCTGCTGCCCCATCTAGAAGGCATGGGCATTATGTTTTTCATCTTTGCATACCCAGTTTCTTCACATAGTTATCGTTCCCGATACTTACGACCCAGCTGATAATTATTGCGTAAAAAATGGGAAAACAGTGATTGCTGGGGTTTTTTTCCAGTGCTATTTGAAAAAATAAGTGAAAAACTATAGTATAGGTATATAAATAAGAGAGAAATGAAAACTGCCTTTTAAAATACACTGTTATTTATTTATAAAATTGAATAAATGAATCTGATGCTTATGAAAGTAAGGAACTCTCAGAGGTTCATGATACTAGAAAAATGAAGAATTTGTGCTATAACTTGATTCTTCATACCCTACCTCAGTCATGAACTCCATGTTAATATACTTCATTACCAACTTTTCACAGCTATAAAGAGCTGTTAAAGGTAAGATCCAGTCTTACCTTTTTTTAGAATATTAAAGAAATGTTTATTACTCAAATATGCTTAAGGTCTTACCTCTCTTTCAAAAGGCTGCTTATCATCTTTCCTTTTTCTTACTGGAAAGTGGCAGTGCAGCATAAGAGAAATAGTTCTGGATAGGGCAGGAACAGGAGTTGGATTCTTTTATTGAGTTAGCAGCCACTTCATGAGAGCCCACTTTCCTTAGTGCTAAAGGAATTTCCTCATGTGAACAATGAAGAAACTAGAGTATATAATCTCCAAGGTCATTTCCAACTCAAGTATTCCATAATTGTAAGCCAAGAGAAAAAAATTACTTAAATTAGGAATTATGACCATTCTTATTGAGAGGACTGACTTGCAAATACATGGGCTCTCCATGTAGCCTTTATTTCCATTTTATTTGTGCTTGCTCTTAATTCTTCCCCCAGAGAAGAAGAAAGTGATTTGAGTTTCATGTACCTTTGATTGGTTTTTTAACTTGCTTTGTATTTCTGATCAAAGATTTATAATCAGACAAAAAACAGTCTAATAAAATGCAATCTGGAGATTTATTTCTGGATTCA